TTGCTTTGGTTCAGGTTGTATTGCTATACCTATTTCTTATTTTTTAGACTTATGTGAAGAATTTCACTCAAGCTCTTCAATACGAGTACGCATCCAAAGGCCTGACTATTCAGCATCTGGCACCGATGTTTGTAGCAACCAAAATGAATCATTTTAGTGACAGAATACACAAAAAGAGCTTATTTGTACCTGATGCCGAGAGTTATGCCAAATATGCCGTTTCCACACTTGGAGTTCTGGATGATTCTAGCGGTTATTGGACCCATGGAATACAAGTAAGGTTATTTGTTATTTTTGAGACCATAAAAAAGAATATTGCTTAAAATATACCAAACAAATCTAGATCTATCTTGATAATCTCGGTTGATGCCACTGTGTAGATAGAAAAAAACAATCACTTTTTTATATATCGTATTTTTCCAAAAGTGACGAAATTTGGGTATGTTAGTATATGATTGTTTTAAAAACATGTGCCATCTCGAGTTATTAAAGACATTAACATATAGCTGAAACAAAGCAGAATCGGTCCTATGTTGATATGAAAAAATCTTATTTTTATGAGGAATCTCCCCACAAGAGATGGCACATGTTTTTAAAACACCCTATATAACATAAATCAGAGTTGAGGCAGGCTTTATGTTGGCAAATGACTACAACTTTTGATTTTTAAATGGTACCTTCGGTATATTTTTACTATACAGTATGTCCCCAGATTGTCTTTACAAGAGGAAAAAAACTTTTTTATTATTGACATTTTGAGAAAAATGCATCTTTATAAAAATTTTTGCTTGTTCTAAAATGGTTAATCATGTTTATACCTTTCCAAATTTCCATGCCGTTTTAGAGAAAATTAAAAAATACAATAAAATATAGTTGAATTTTTTCCTAAAAATCAAAACGCGTTTCTATGGTGATATAATTTCGTTTTCATTCTTTGGTGGATTGTTATTGGCAGAATTTTAATTAACGCCATATTTTTGCTGTTTTCAAATGTTAAAGAACCACAAAATTTATTTAGTTCAAGGCTACGGAAAGTGTGATTATAGTTATCGGAAAATTTGATACTTTAGCAACAGCAAAACAATATGACGTTAATCAAAATTAATAATAACCATCTATCAAAGAAAGAAATCTAAATTATATTTACATAGAAACAACTTTTGATTTTTAGGACTTTTTTAAAAATTCAACCATAATTTGATGTTTATTTTTTAATTTTCTCTAACACGGTATAGAAATTTGGAAAAGTAGAAATGGGATTAACGATTTTAGAACAAGCAAAAATTTGTATAAAGAATTCATTTTTCTCAAAATATCTGTAATAAAAAAGTTTTTCCTCATGTAAAGGCAATCCGGAGAGAAACTTTATATGATAGAAAATGGCATTCTAAAAAGAATAATTTTTTTAAAACATAAATAATGTTATCAATATGCATAAAAAATCAAAATCAATAATAATTATTGTTTGTCATTTGTTAAAATTTTGTTGGTTTTGACTATTTTATTATTTATATATTTTTTTTTTATATTTTCAGACTTTCTTCACAAAGTTACCTCCAGAATGGATCAGAATGTACATCGGGGGATATTTGAATCAACTTTTTAGAGAAGACTATTTAAGGAATTTGAAAAGTTGATATAAATCTTATAATAATTTTCTTTTTTCAGTTTACCTGTTTTTGTGATATGCAAACTATTTGTATATTTAATGTAAATACCATTTATAATGTTTGTTTTTGTTCAACTATCTGAAAGAATTTTATTCTGTTAAAACTATTATTGTAAAACCTATTATTGTTGTCATTACTTTTTATATCTCTGAGAAAATTAAATTTAGGAAACTCACCTTACCATGTAAAGTGATACTGTTAACGTAATTTAAATATACATTTTGATTGCGAACAAATAAATTAATAAGTGTGTCTTATTTTTCTTTCTAAATTTTAAAACGCTTAAATTTAAAAAATTTATATATTTATTTATATTACAGCGCCATCTCTCCTTCCAAACTGCAAGTACACTGGAATAATTTAATAGAAACCTTAATGTTTATTCATAGAGCTTTAGACTATTGCAACAAAGATGGTAAATAAATTTAATAGACTTAATCTTAATATAAATTAATGAATGAAGATAACCAAATATACAAAGCGCACTAAAATTTAAAAGGGTTAGTTAGGATCAAATAATAATTTATTTCCAAATTATATTATAAAAACATCGTCAAATATCAATATTCATCAGCATATTCACATTTTTACAAAAGTTAGATAACCGATTGATGAAATAATTATATCTAAAGCATATATATAAAAATAGTACTAAACATCTTCCTGAGTCTTTGTATTGGAAGCTTTGAGATAATCTTATCTTATTATGTTAACTGTGCTTTAATACTAGAATTAGAATTTTATGATTTACCTACACCTACATAAATTTTATTTTAAATATTTTCCAGCTCAATGACGACCGATTTTTTTTTTGTAAAATGGTCTCTCTCTAGTATTACTACATTTTTTATCTTCTGTAAAAAAACGCAACATCGCATAGTTTTGGAAAATCTTCTTGGAGAATTTATTCTTTCAAAGCAGACCTACAAAATATACAGAGAATTCCAATATTCCGTGGACATAGAACATAGACGTATTTTTCATCAAAATTAGTTATTTGCATATAATTTACATTTGTTTCTTTTTGTCTGTTACAGGGCATCAATTAAAAATAAACACGGACGTTAATTAATTTAAAATTTATTTTTTAAGCTCTATATGAAGCTTATTGTCAAATATAATTTGTGGTACTAAATTAATTACAATTTTGGATTTTTTAGTTTTAGTTAACAAACATAATTTCTTGATAACATGGCAACATAGATAGTAGATTAAATTTGCAAGAAAGAAAATCCAGAAGATCAGTGGTTCTCAAATTTGAGCAAAAATTTTTTTTTGGAAATTTCAAAGTAAAATAACATAGTTATTTTGGACTTATTGAAAACACTAAGAAAATATGTTCTTTCATGAGATCAATACCTTAAAATACTTACACTTATTTCTAGGACACCCTGTATATTAGTTAAGCCTCACTAAAAAAATTAAATTTGACAACTACCTTAAGTACATCAACTCTATTTTATGACAACAATGTAGTAGATAATCCTTGTGTAAGGCAATGGTTTTGATAATTCTGAAACATAACTTCTTATATCTGTATATTAATTAGAATTCTAACCGCCGAATATTACCAATCCAATGCAGATTAAATGAAGCTAAAAGACACACTACCCTGCAGGAAATCGAAGCAGGAAGATAACACGGTTCAACATAGGCTATGCTACTGCCCACCCTGTCGTCAATCAGAGAGTCCACTCTATGTAAAATTTGCTCTACTGTGGCTGCAATCGTTTCCAATATCTATCAGATCAGATCAGATAAAATATGATGATTATTAAAGAACAATTAAGTAATTGTTATAAAATAACAATAAATGATGTATAACTGGTTGATGATCTATTAGGCGTACCAGCAATCCATTTGAATCTTTAATTTCCTTTTCATTCTGGACGCCATGGTACCGTTCACTTCTTTTGCAGGCGTGACGTCACCGGTCGTACTTCGCTACCGTATATTTGCTGCGGAGCGCCAAGTTTCTTGCAGTACCTATAGTCGAGCGGGTTTTAATCACAATTCATTCAATTAAACAATACATAGATAGATTAAAGTAACTTTTAACATTTTTGGTCTATTTTGTGCACAATATAGGTATCATTTTATAAGGAATAAATCAAAAGTAGTTGTTTTTGTGAATTAAAAAAATTACAATATGTTTTTTTAGTCAATTTCCTTTAATTTAATATATTTTTTACTTAAACTTATAAAAGAAATCTTACCACTGTAATTGAATTAAGTGATTTAACGTCAATAAAGATATCTCAAAATATAATTTGAAGTTAATTTTATTAATATTTTTTTATTTTTGTTTCAGATATTTATCTTTTATTTTTGATTTTGCCTTTTATTATATTTTGTATAAGTTCTATTGCAATTGTTAGTAAAAGGCGTCTAGGGAATGACCTCGCCAAAATTATCACCGATTGTCATTCAACAGCCGTCTTTGATGCCATTTTTGCCAAGCCTGCATTAAGGTTTTAGATAACCATATCTCAACCTTTTTCAACTGGTCACAGTAATATTAAAGAAACGAGTCGAGAATGTTACGCAATACAATTTTAGGTACACCTATAACTTTTCTTATTTTTTAGATAAAAAACGAGATTTGAGCTATGCTAGTATGACATAAATTAGGATTGATTAACGTATTCAATTGTTTTTGTTCACTTCCTGTTTCATCGGAAGTGACTCTCGGTATATTTTTACTTTATTCGATAGAAAATGACACTCTGAATAGAATGACATATCATATGTCAATTTTTGATATTTTCGCAAAAAAAATTGTATTTTAAATTTCAATCTAGCCATGGCTGTGTTGAAAACACTAATTTGTAATCAAGGAGCCCTGGAAAGATAGATTTGATCATCTAATATTTTTCGTGTGTTGTCCTGGCCGATTAAAAGATGCCCAAAACGTTTTTCAATTAAAGCTCAATTTTTTCAAATAGAACAAGCGTGGCTCATTATCATATTTGGAAAAAGCATTTTTTACGAATAATTTGGTATCACACAGTTGGTATTCCGAGGCAAATTGTCGTTATGAACCGCATGATACAATTTCAAATAAACCATATGCAAAATGGCAAAAGTTTGCGTCATTCTATTCAGAGTGTCATTTTCTATCGAATAAAAAATACCGAGGGTGTCATTTAAAAATCAAAAGTTATAGTGATTTCCGGTGAAACAGAAAATGACCAAAAACAATCGAATACGTCAATGAATCCTAATTTATGTCGTTTACTAACATACCAAATATCGTTTTTTATCTGAAAAATTAAAAAAGTTATAGGGGTGGGCCACTTTTGAGACGCACCCGGTATAAGTATATTAAAGTTTAATTAAAACACAAAAACCAATAATAAATTTATTAAGTAGATATATTCTGCAGACTTTTAAAATGTTATCCTTAATTTTGTTCGTAAAATGGTTATTCCATCCCATATCTTATCAGTTGGCAGGAATCCTACATCCTAACAAAAGTGGTATTCTGCAGACCTATCTTGAAGGTTTATCTTCAAATTTGCTCTTGAGATACACCTCCAAAATAGTTCAGTGCCTAACCTAAACGATAACAAGGTAACGGGCGCATATATCTCCTCCACTAAATCAGCAGGAATATCCGCAATCTTCGAGGTCTTCGACTACCTACTTAAGACGTTCACCCACGAGCCGCGCATGCCCACCAAACTGCAAAAGAGAACGGCATCTACTTCTTCGTTTCTTCAGCTGTCAGTAGTCTTGTAACTCGATAACCTAACCAAGTCTGCGCGCGACAACACCATGAAGCAATAGCTAACGCCGTCTGGCTATACGGTGGCGCGAAATTCGAATCCCACCCCTAATATCGATAATGACAGACTGAATCAAACTCATCCCTAAAAGAAGAACGATGAAATACAAGGAATCGTGGTGAAAGTGGTGTTCAATTTCTTTCTCGAGTTCTTCAGCTAGTGCATTTTCCTTTTCAGTGGTAAAAGTAGGAAATTAGAGAAGCAGTTGCGAGTAAGTAGCTTTCTTCATTATTATTCTAGGGAGGTGATCGGAAATTGGTCGGTGCTACGACAAAAAAAAATACGTGGGCTCTAGTAGACAGAACTAACAGAAAGTACTGTTAAATTTGTCATAGAAGTATGATCGAGGTTAAAAATCTCTCTCTGGAATCACCTATAGGATTTATTTCAATAAACAAATACAAAATATCAGAAAATTTTTAAAAATAGTTAAGCATAATTAATCTAGATTCTAAAAACACTAAATTTTTATGAAAAAATAGATTGAATTCAGTGTTTTAGTGTTTTTTCTCCATCTTTAAAGTGTTGGAAAATTACGTATAATCCAGAAATTGGTTAAATTATTAAAGCCAAGGTATTAACAACTTGAAAATCAATGGGGTCGGAACCTTTGGTATTACAACAGCAAAATAAAACAGTAATTCACCACAATACACCAAAACATTTTACTGTCGCTAACCATGTTAGCATCATCAGCAGATGACTAAAAGTCATATCTTACCGTTTTAATAAAGGCACGTTCAGTGTTCTAAAGTAGTGTTTTGATATATTGTGCGAAATTAGTGTTTTATTTTGCAATTTATCAATTGTTTATGACGGATTCAATAGTGTCCTATACATACCCCCCCCCCCAATGGCATAACTACAGTGGTGCCCGGGGGTGCCGGGCCCCCCACCCGGGTGCTGCTGGGCACCCCCCAGAGAAATCTTGAATTATGACTCTTGGCTACGTCTTAATTTTTATTTGCTTGTGATGTAGTAAAAAAGACGTTTTCTAGTTTTGTTTAGTTAATATTATTTTGTTGTGTTCAAAAAATGTGTCAATTTTTATTTTTTTATAAAATTTGTAGGTATTTAAGTAATCTACGGGAACGCGGTTTGTATACCAAGTCTATAAAATTTATTGAGAGAAATTCATGTAAACGTTTTATTCAAAAAATTTGTTTTTTTAAATTACTTTTCATTTAAAAAAAAAACAACAAAAGCCCTAG